GCTTAGGGCGTTTCAGTCTAACATTAACGTAACGTAAAACTGGCTCTGAGACAACATTTAAAAAAAAAACCTAATGTAAAATGGGAGTTACATCGGGACTGTGGTGAGGAATGGATGCGCGAACAAGGTAGAGCTCCACCGTAAGAGACAGTGCCCCAGTCCGGCAGAGATACCCCGACGGCAGGAAAATAGGAAGGTGAAAGAACACGGACAGCGCAGCCAACGACGAGAGTGCTAGATTTGGTTGTACAGGTGAGCGTCCTTCAAGAAAGCAATCAGCGCAGCCAGCGTCGAGGGGTCGTTGCCAAGTAGCTCCCTGATGTTCTCTGGGAGTCGGTGTTGTTCGCGTAGCCTCTGAAACTCTAGGCAGACACACAGCACGTGTTCCACCGAGGCAGGGATGCTGCAGATTGGACAAACCTTGTGGAAAGGTGTCCCACCAAAATTGTGGGAAATCCTCGCCTTGAAATGATCCGTTGGTCCTTGTACTTGTGACTGTCTAGCCAGGGTCGTACGGTTTCTTTGATCTTTCTCAGGAAAGTGGTCCGTGACTGAAACCATTCCTCCTGCCAGGCTTCCATGATAATATTCGCGATCCAACGCTTGACGTCTAGGAGTGGTACGTTCCTGTTGAAGCGGGGACCAGATGGACCGGATCCCGCCAGCCTGTCCGCAGCCTCATTTCCAAACATATCTGGTTCCTCTATATATGCAATTTGATTAACATCCGAAGTTCAGCCTTTTTTACATATTCTGCACAAAAGATACTTTCTACCCCGCCAAATTCATAAAAAAAACGACGAGAAATCCTATCAAGTGCGGTTGCACATCGTTCTGCTTGAACCTGAAAAGATATAAAACAGATCTGCTGTCGTTCTTTTGCTCATTACTTTTCAACTAGTAATAATCACACCTCGGTTGTACCTCATTGGTTACGATATCGCCACTGCGCAAAGTTCAAGTGATCGTCAAGCAGTACAGTTTGGCTTTTGCTCGCTCTGACGAGTTGTTCGAAAGTTTCTAGTTTGTTCCAAACGTTCGTAGTTTAATCGCGTCGTCAGTAGTGTCGGTCCCTTTGTGTGATGGGAAGACAGCGCTCCCGCAGCTGGCTCCGAGAGAAAGTGGAGAAGAAGAACAGTGGTGAGGGTAGCTTTAGTGTTGGGAATACCACCTCTGCCACGGTGAAGCGGACCAAGAAAAGGAAGAAAAATCAGAGCCAGTCCGATGGTACGAGTGGACGTGACGATGCTACCGCGACGAACGTCAGCGTCATCAGTGATTTCGGGGACTCCGTCGACAATGAGAGTTCTACCGGCCCGAGTGGGGCAAAAATAAAGCTTCCTCCACTGGTGGTGAAGAATGTGCCACTCCACACCCTCACAGCGAAGTTTAAGCTCGGCAGGATCGGCACCAAGGTGATGCTCCATACGAAAGCGGAGTACGAGGTGGTCGTAAAATATTTGATGGATTCCAAGGCGGAATTCTTCACGCATGACATCCCCGGTGAGAAGCCCTTCAAGGTAGTCATCAGGGGCCTACCAAACATCGACCTCAAGATGATCGAAGCCGAAATCAAGGACCGGAACAAGCTGGCCCCAATCGCTGTCTTCCGAATGACAAGGAGAGACGAAAATGTGAAGACGTACCCGGATTGTCTTTTCCTGGTACACTTCCAGAAAGGGACGGTGACGCTCAGTGACGTAACGCAGTGCCAGCAGTGTCTCAATTTTGGACACGGTACCCGCAACTGCAGCAACTGCGCTCACGAACACGCCAATGCTGACTGCCCTGCGGATGGAGCCGTGGCGTTAACAATGCGCCAACTGTGGTGGTGCACATCAAGGTTCCGACAGACAGTGCTCCAAACGCGAGGACTTCAAACGCATCCGAAAGCTGGCGTCAAGCAACAATCAACCAGGACACAAGAAGGACAAAACCCCAGCATCAGGACGGAGAATTTCCCGCCTCTACATGCTCTCCAGCAAAGACAAGCAAATGCGCGGGTGCAACTCGCTCCCCCTCAAGAAGCTTCCGGTGATTCTGCTGGCCAAAGCTCTCCATCCCCCCTGGATTCTGGAGACAACCAACAGCGCAAAACAACAACCCCGATCTGTTCTCAGCGGACGAACTGATGGAAATTTTCGTTAACATGTCCGGTGCTCTTCGTAAGTGCCGCAATAAGCCCGAACAGATCCAAGTGCTCGGTAAGTTCATCATCCAGTATGGCGTCTAAACCGCTAAGTATCGTCACCTGGAATGCTTGCTATGTAAGAGCAAAAGAGATTGAGCTTGCCGACTTCCTCCGCAAGCACAGCATCGACGTGGACCTTCTAACTGAGACCCATCTAAAGTCCGGTGACAGCTTCTGGTTGCCTGACCACAACATTATTCGGCTTGATCGCACCCGCTCCAGGGGGGGGGGGGGTGTTGTGGTCGTCGTCAAGAAAGGAATAAAATACCACACTCTGTCCCATATCCGCACCTCTATCATCGAGGCCCTTGGTTTGGAGGTGGAGTCATCGACTGGATACGTCCAGTTCATCGCTGTCTACTGCGCTCGACAGTGTGCCGCCAGCAGTGGACTTGCGGCTAAATTCAAGAAGAACCTGTCCACCATCACCCGTAACGGTTCCCGCTTCGTAGTAGGAGGAGATCTAAACGCTCGCCATGAGGCCTGGAAGAACTACCAGCAGAACTAGAATGGTCGTCTGCTGTTCGACCACTCACTGCATAGTCTGTACTCCGTTTGGTTTTCGGATGAGCCAACATTTATCTCACAGGCGGGCAACCCATCGACCCATCGACTTGTTCCTGACAAATATCGGCTTGTCCAAGCCCGTAGCCTTGAACGAACTCAGCTCTGAACTGGACTGCAACGTGGCTCCTGCTTCTAGCCTGCGCAAGGACTACCATCGCGTAAACTGGGCCCAGTTTGGACGCATGGTAGACAGGCACATCATCGACAACCCGCCGTTTGGCACCGTGGAGGACATCGACCGAGCGTTGGAGGGACTCCACCAAGCCATAACCGTGACTGACGAGGCGTGCATTCGACGAGTTCCTGTGAGGGGTTGTTTGGGGTTGTGAGTTTATTGCCATTGATTCCCACACCCAACTATTGATTCGACTGAGAAATGTTCGTAGACGCCAGTTCCAGAGAACCGAAGATCTAGCGAGGAAACGTGAAATGGCCTATCTGAACAAGGAGATTGCTTCCTGAATGGTCTCACTCCAGAACGAAAGTTTCGGGCGGCTTTTCCAGAATTTGGACGACCGCTCCAGACCATTCTGGAAAGTTTCCAAGGTCTTAAAGACGCACCCCAAACCCATTCCACCACTCAAAGATGAAAGTGTTGACGATCGGCTCATAATCACCCCTCAGGAGAAAGCAAATGCGATTGCCCAAGTAACATTGAAAGTTGTATCACGATATTAAAGCATTCTACAAGTCCAAATCATGGTCTATAGAACCTTCATAAAACCCAAATTGTTACTTGGGTGGTGAGCATTTTGCCAAATCGCACTTGCTTGGCTCCAACATCCATAGTCCACTCGTCTTTTTGTTCATATATCTGCCTTTTTTTTTTTCTTTTTTAGTTCTTTTTTCAGTGCTTTAAAGACAATGACTAATCACGTTAGTATTGCACATATTTTTACATTTTTGTATACTAAAACTTGAACAACAGCGGCAATCCATACTATACCCGAGTAGCACATTTCCGTCACAATAAGTTGCAGCTACTTGTTTATGACTGATATAGGTTGTATAGAAGTTGCCACAACTGATTTGTGACAAGCATGCTACTAGGGTGAGGTGACACCAAACTAATAATTGGTGACTTGAATTACCTTATTTTTTTTTTTTTTGAAGCATATTCAAAAAATTTCACCCAAACTTTAACTAAAGTATCTCGATGGTTATAGAATAAGGGTTCTACTTACACTTTTTTTTTTCAAAATTTAGCTAACCCTTGTCTGAGAATATCAGTCATGAATAACCTGTGCGAATTTTGGAAAATATTGTAACTCTAGGAGAAGTTATAGTATGGAAAAATTATAGATTATATTATATACAGGGTGATTCAAAATAACTATCACTTTTTAAAATGAACGATTGAACGCTTGCACTATTTTTTAGATTTCAGTATATTCCCGATATACTACATATATAACCTTCAACATTTTTTTCGTTAATTACCAGCCACATTTGTCACGAAAATGAACCACAGCGTTTTAGTTCCAGCAATTTTGGAGCCCTGGCGATGCGTCTAATCTCAAAAGATAAGCTATTATTACGGAATTAAAAGGAAATAGCTCAACCCACTCAAAAGTTCATCTATATCAGTTCATAGAGAATTATGTTTGATGGTTTTGAAGATTTATGATCCATCCAATTGATTCTAATGAACAGTTCACTGTTGATGAAAAAAATATCAGCTAAGTTATGGTGAAATTGTCCAAATGTGTTGTATAACAAAAAATCAAAACAGGATGCCAAAGCGCTCAATGGTAACCTTATCCAGAACGGACGACCGCCCCCTCGGTCTAGGTGGCATTTTTTAAGCACAAACACTCATTTTTCTCTCCAGTTTGCCGGCCTTTCTGCTGATTTTAACCCGCATCCGAAGGGAGGGCATTGTCAAAAAAAAAGCAGAGCAAAAGGGACACAACAAAAGGATTAGTTAAGGGACTTGAGATTGTTGCGGTGACGATGGTGTGCGGTGATCTCTTTTCCTTGTGCAAATTTTCCATTCATTGAAAGCGCCCCGGTCCTCGGCGAAAACAATGATGCTGCAAACTAGTCCTAGTTGGGCTGGAACTGCGCATCTCTTCGAGTTTACCGACGACAGCTAATGAGAAAATGTTTGACCGGGAAATTATGCAGATTCCCTATCGTTTGGGAAAGTGGTTTCACCGGAGTTTCAAATTCAATCGATGCTAGTTTGAAGGTTTGATTTCTAATACTCGTTTTCCTTTTTCTCGTGTTTGTCTCTTTGCAGAAAGCCTTAGGGATTACTTTAGCAAATTCGGAGAAATCACAGAAGTCATGGTAATGAAGGACCCCACGACGCGGAGGTCGAGGTAAGTTTTTCGCTTTATCTATCACATTGAACCTATAGAGAATCCTCGTTATTGATTAGCTATTAGTTTGTTTTTTGTTTAACACGGATAGTTTATATCTAACATAACTTGTATTTGTTATTAGTTGAATGCTGCATTTATCCGATTTTTGTTTGTACCCTCATTCTTGGCTCTACCCACCGGATTAATGTACGTCCCATCATTAGTTCTTAAATTCAAAAATTTCTTAATTCTCTGTCGTAGTTGGTTAAATGGCTATTCAGCAATCCAAACCAACAGCTCAACTGATGCATCGTGTGTTTTTTTCGCATATCTTCGAGGCTGCTACATATTTGGCTCAGTTTCCCCCCTCCAATACCCACCGAAAAGGGGATTACGAAAGCAGCAATCGAATCGAGGCTTATATTATGCTTCTTGCTACGAAATTCGAGCCTTGCACGAAGAAACCTCTCTTACATAACCATCAACAAAACCGAATCAAAAGCAAGCAAGCAACCAACCTTCATGGCAGGAATTTCTGTCAGCTGCCAAAGTGTGACGAAAAACACGGATTAGGCCATCACATCTCCGTCGGGGCTGCTGGATGCTGGTGGTGTATTTTCCCACTTACCCGCGTGTTTCGTGATGAATTGAATACCTACTACTCTCCTCACCTTTCTTCCAGCCAGAGATTTGGGCATGATTCGTCGGGAGTTCTAGGAAAAAAAAAAAGTATAATCGGTTGGTGCGCGTATTTTTCCCTCTGTGCGATGAACGTCATTTTGCGAAGTAAAAACGATCCGGCTGATGAATTTATGAGCAACGTGTACGTGTGTGCATGTTTGTACTCGACGAATCCTGATCCAAAAACAGCCTGGAACGCTGAAACTGCTACCAAATGAGGGTGTAGGTATAAATGGTTCTCTTTCGCGGGAAAGGCGAGGAAGTAAGGCAGGCACAGAAGGTGGTAAATCGCTTGCACAACACTCTCGTCGACTCAGTGTAAATCACGAATCAAAGGAATTTGCTTTCGCCTCACTGGGCTTAATGCTTGATTTGATAATCCGTCGTCGTCGGCGTCGTTGTCGTAGTCGTCGTCGCGAGAAAACGCGAAATTTTGTGCGATTGAAATTAAATCGGGCTTTCATCCTCTACTGCCAGTTAGTTGAGTCGTGTTGGGGAAAATGTCCTTTTCGTAGGAGAATAGCAAAAGGAATTAATTCCTCTATTGATGCTTTAAGGAATGTTCACACCAAAAAATCTCAGCTTTCGATGAAAAAAAAAATATTTTGATGTCAAATAACCGCTCAATTAAACCCTAGATAGGATGGTTGGGTTTAAACCCTAGAAATCTAAAATGGATAGTTCTAAACTGAAACGATTTTTCCAATGACCAATTTTTGGTATGTACATGTGAGATCTTTTGCAATGAGTTTGTCTTCTTCTGAAGCAATGTTTCCTGGCAACATATACTGGAGGCGTCAGCTTTGTTGCAAATCCGTACAGGTCTTACTCTGGAGGATATGAGTGTTTGCGTTCCTTTTGAGAAATTACTATTTTATTTTTATTTTGACGTAGGACTACGTCTGTGATTTCTGTATGGGGGTACACTTTGTGAAAACCAAAAATGGAACATGCAACAAAATTATGAAAGATTTTGAACGATAATAACTCAGCTGCCCCTGGACAAATTTCAAAAACTTTATTACCAATCGATCAGATATATTTCTACGCATCTGTTAAATTTAAGACTTAATCATTTTTCAAAATTTCACTCTTGAAAATTGCACGAATGTGCAACTGCTGCTTTGATAATTAAAATTATCACCGATTGCCTGCGAAAAGAGATTTCCCTAACACAGATTTCAAAGTTGAATTCCATCCGGTCTCACCAAACGGTGTTTATTCAATCACCACGTGGTGAGTAGTGGTGTTCTCAAATACACAACGAACGGCTCCCCCCAATCATCTAGCAACCCAGGCTGGCCTCAACCGCTGATCGGATTCAGTTCCAATCACCGTGTGTGGTGGTGTCCGGTAGTCTGCACCAGCTGCAGCAGCAGCAGTGCTTTCGGCGCGTGGCGTTGAACATTGTTCTCCAGTACACAACGAAAGGCTGCCTGGAAGCAGTGAGCTGCAGCCCACATGAGCATCCATAGAAGGAGGAAGAAGCCACACCGCTATTGATCGGAATCAGTAGCTCTTCGTGAGTCGCTGTGGCCCATCTATGTCAAGCGCGTCATACTAAAGTGTATAAACAGAGAGAACCCCGCTCAAATTCCTATTCCTACACAAAACACCAGCTCCTGTTGCAGTTAACAAATAAGATTTATTATATAAGACCACGTAGTCCTACGTCACCATTGCGTACGACCCCATAGGGCTGTCCCTTGTAGTTTTTTAACTCAAAGTTTATGATAACAAATTTCGAATGTTCATAGGAGGTATTAAAAAACTACGTATACAGATTAGGGGGTGGATGACGAAGGAACTTTATGACGACGTATTCACCTTTGATCCAACCATTTCTGCTTCACGTTTCAACCTGGTGATCAGCTCTACCACTGTCCAGAACGCTCTTCCGACAATGTCCACGTTGTCAGCGAAGCAGATTAACTGGCTGGATTTATTGAAGATCATGTTTCGCATGATAAAGTTTGCTCGTTTCGCAATACCTTCTAGCGCAATGTTGAACAGAAGGCAGGAAAGACCATCCATCGTATCGTTGATCAGTCTGGGCAGTTTTTCGGAAAAACCGTTCTCGTCTATAATCTTCCATAGTGCATCATGGTCAACCGTATCGTAAACGGCCTTAAAATCGTTGAAGTGATGATACGCAAGGACTTGTTACTCGCAACACTTTTGGAGGATCTGCCGCAACGTGAAGATTTTTGCCCGTCCATAAAACGTGCTGGATAATTTCCCACAAATCTGTTTGCTTGCAGTGATAGATGGCGAAAGATCAGATCTGAGGACACCTTTGTAAACAGCGTTGAGAAAAGTGATCGCTCGGTAGTCTCTTTCCACTACTCCAGTATGTTAATGATCGCATTTGCTTCACCCTGAATGCAGTACGAATTTTTGAATTGTTGAGCTCCAGAATTTTGGTAATATTTTAAAGTCGAGATTTCAAAAGTCTTTGACTTATTGTTTTTCAGAGTGAAAGAATCCCGAAAATTAATGGAATACCGCTAATGCGAATTTTGTGAAAGCTCAACTGCATTCTAAAAACAAAACTTTCAACATCCAACCTTCAAACTGAAAGAAACGATACCCTTAAATATTAACAACGCAAAACAAAACCAAAGCTCGAATCCGTCCCTCAAGGCGATGCCCTTCGTTCATACGTAACAAGGTGATTCAGAAGAACCCTCTCGAACGAGCAGCGCACCGCCTTGGGGGAGGAGGACGAACTCATAAAAATGTTTTATTGAAAACGCAAGAGAATATCCCTTTATTTTTCACCTCATCTCGCTCCCCGTTGTTTGTTTTGCACTCCTCGAGGATGTGTGGAACTGAAAGCCCTGTAAGTGCCCCGGCCAATCGGCACGTTCTGCACATTTCTTCCGAGATAAGTGAAAACAGGTGCCAAGGAACCTCCTCTCGCTTCTATCGCTCTCCGTTGGTGGTGGGCTTCTTTCCTGTAAATGTTTGAAAAGGGTACAAGTGGATTAATCGGTGCCACTTTCCTGAACAATTGTTTCTCGGTAGAATTGAAATTTTCGTCGTGAAAATTTTCTTACGATTAACGATCTACCTGCTCGGCGATAAATATCCATTCACAGAATCCAAATTTTCCGGTTTTCCTCAACTAAGGCTCCATCAATTTATATACATTATGACCAATCCCAGTGCGCCGCAGTTCATCCCGTGCCCTATCAATATCACTTCCGGTATGAGTTTTCACTAGCTATGTGATGGAATTTTCCCTGTGTAACACTTTTCTTCCTATAACGAAAATCGAAGAAGTTTGCCTAAAGGAAAACCGGGAAAACCCGAAACACAATAACAGTTTGTCTTTTCCGATAATGATGAAATATGGAGAGCCTGGTGGTAGTTTGACTTGCTTTTTTTTCCTCCTCGTCCGGTCTAGGAAGATTCTCACGAGTGCCATTTTCTGCGGTTTAATAGCACCTAGATAATGCTCTCTGCTCTGCTGGCTTGGCTACTCCCCGGGAAGCTTGCGGCGTGCGCGTGAGTCTTCCCATTAAAACACCACTGCCGACTGCCACCCCAAATGAGGGGTAGAGCAGAATCTCCAAATTTATCACTTTTAATTTAGAGGCTGAAGGGGGGATTTTTTTTTGCACCCTGCAGAAGACCGAAGTGCCTTAAGGAATTGATAGTTTTTTTTTTCGACGAGCATCCCATGCACCCGGTTGGAGCGCAATAAGTTTGAACGGAGGAACTAGTTATTTCCTGGAAACAAACGAGCCCAATCGGGCCATTACTCTGCTTTTTGCTCGGAACGCTAGTTGTGCTCAGATTTAAGCGGTTTAATTTGCAATAATTTTCGATATTTATTGGCTTCTGTCGGGAAAGTTCAACGATTTCATAAGTAGAGGGTGTTGTTAAGTTTTACAACAAATTAAACCAAGAAATGCTCAAGACCCACCGGCAGCTGCATTCTTTGCAGTGAGTCAGTTTCTCAAACTCACACAAAGAAGACAAGTATAGGAAAGCTTTATCAGTCACACAGGAAATTGAAAAGTGCCACTACTGTGACGCTTGGTCCCGGACTCGTCCTGTAAGTGAAAAAAGAAAGAAAACTTTCCAATGGCAGCTGTACTTCCTGTCACTCCCGTTCCTTTCGCCTCCCAGTGCCACTAAGCCAATTGAGTGGAATTAATTGAGTGTTGGTAATGCGATAAATTTTAACAAGTTTATTGGAGACAGAGACCAGCGAGTGCAATGCAGCAGAAGCCAAAGTCTGAATCGCGCGCAACTTTTCAATCCATCGACCACACTCACTCACTCACCCATACACACACAGCTTACTGGAAAGTTGTTCTTTTCAATCA